TGAAGCTTAGAGCAGAAACTTTAAAAAACAGTCAGGTGGAACAACCTGTCATCTCAGCCCACAAGTCCTCTTCAGGCCTCAGTCATGTGCTCACTGCTTGCCCTAGTTCCCACTGATTTCAGTAGGAGTTGAGAGTGTATCCAGAACAGGAGATATTGCCCATATTTTCCACTGTGGCAAAACCTGTGCTGTGACCTGTGAGGGCTTATCGCTGATGGCCAGATCCAAACTCTTACAACAAGTCACAAAAGCTGCGCAGAGCATGAGAGCGGCAAGCATCACAAGAATATCTCAGACACCCTTTGGTTGTGAATAACACAGCTGGTATCAGTGCCATCTTTAAAAAACCCATTGCAAGAGCCTCAGTAAGTGATGGAAAGCTACCCATTCTGTACTCCGTTTCAGATAATATAAAATCAGTTTAGTCTTTTGAAGGAAAATCCTCTGTACTTTCCCACATAAATAACTACACAGTGAGACAACTGAAATATTTTTAAACAACGATGTTTTAAAAAATGATTTTTAAACAACACATCACTGAAAGTGTTTGCTGTCACATATTGGCAGTTGGATACCTGATAAGCCATCCATGATTTCAGAGGGGAAAAATACTCACTCCCCACGGCTGTAGGAATTTCTGTTTATTCTTGTTGTGGAAATGTCAGTAGAAACATTCATTCTAAGTGTCTACTCTGTACCCCTCTAAGGAAATGCTTCACCAAAACTTATCTTTTATAAAACAAGAAAACACTCTGAGGGTAGAAAAGGCTTCATTTATTGTGTAAATATCCCTTATCCTTTGAGTAAATAATTGTCTTTCAATGGCTGTTTACAGAATGCTTGGTACTGTACCTTCACTCAAGCTTTTCCATGTTAAAACTGAGGATTGTAGCAATGCTTATTTACACTCCATCATTCAAACTGAATCACCTAATGACCTGCAAATAGCAATAAAGAAGCCTTATTGCTTGTCAGCTGTTTGTTCCTGTATTTAATAGCAGAGACAGTTGCAAAGATCTTAACCTTCATTCTGGTCCTGAGTCCCTGCCTCCCCTCACTTCCCCCCAATCATTTAAAACATTATCGTTAACATAAAACAACCCAACATCATTCACAATGAACATACATTTCCATTCCATGAAGTACTTGTGTTTTAACGAAGAATACGGTTTCCCAGCAGCAGGTGCTAACATCAAAATGAAAAATTAAATCATTACATTGTATATCTGTCTTCAGGAGGATAAATGGAAAATAGGTTTTACGAAAAACTCCGATATTATCTCGAAACACTCATTTGTTTTTAAAGGTATATTAAATTTCATGGGGTTTCTAGTTTGCTTGAGGTATTTCAGGACTGCTTGGGGAATATGCAGGGCAATGTTATTCTAAGCAATGACAACATTCTCCTGCCAAAAGTGTGACCTGTTGATAGCTATAAGGAGGTGTAGTTTGATCCCTCTATCCTCTGTCATTCTGGAAAAGCTCAGACAGTAATTACAAAGCTTCTAATTTCCTGTCTTTTTGCATTATATATAAAAATTAAAGGCGAAATCTGAAGCCAAGGGGGAATCTATTCTTAAGCTCTGATTCTGCAGACTCTGACTGTACATACCCAACCTTTGTATGTAGGGCAACACTCAGTGTATGAAATCAAGTAAATACTCAAATCTAAATTTAAGGGAGAAACTGAAACTCTACTTTATTCTTATCAGTAGTTGCCTTTGAGTAATATTCACGATCAACAATGGCAAAGTCAGACTATGAGGAAAGTGTTTTTTCTGTGATGGTTATTGTTGTCAAATTGACGTAGTTAACAAAGTGCATCTTCTGAAGTCTAGGTCAATGAGCATAGCAATCTGATGCAGGTTGAGGAAAGTTCCAACACAGGCAGGTGATTGAATTGTTTTTCACATGAGAGGCATACAGAGTTACAGAGCTACAAGGGCAGTCAAATATTATGAATTTTATTTTGTTCTCTTGATGCAAGATCTTTTACTGATGGTTTTACTTCTTGAAAACTTCTGTATGTTTTATTCTGAAGAATATAACCCATCAAATTAGGAGTAGGAATAAACCTATAGGTGATAAAGTCTTCACTACATAGTTGTAATACCTCTTGTTGATGTATGTGAGGATATTCTATAAAAGTGAACAACTTTGGTTTTCTGCTTTGAATGCAGTGAGAATAAAAGCACCAGATCTGCAGGCCTACAATTACAGCTTTAGCATAAGGAATCACACAATTATATCAGGGTATGGCTGTGCCTACATAAACGTATCATAAAGCTTCTGAGTACAAGCTTTCTTTTCAAGCATGCTAAATTTGCATCCACGCAGTGCATCTTGTTAGGCAGTAAGCTACTCCACAAGGCTTTTTAGTGCTTACACCATTTTTTACCTAGTTGGCATGCACAGTGCTATGTTAGGGCCGTCTTCATTATGAAGATGGAAATGAGTTTCTACAGTTTGATTCTTGGCTTCTCTACCCAATTCATGGATAGACAATTCTATATAATATGGTCCTTCCTCTTTGCTTTGTATGTTACACTACTTTTACACCGCACTCTCTGATATATTCTAAGAATCCTATATCTTCTAGTAATCATGCTTCAACTTTAAGCTCCCTTTGACCCACCTTATCCTGTTAATGCTGAGTGCTTTCAGCTGTATGGCAGTTACATCCTAACACTCAGATCCCTGTGCTCACGTGGAAGTCATGTTCTACAGCATTCTCTTGTTAATTAACTTTTTTAATGCTTCCCTGACTAGATAACAGGTTTTTTTTTGTTTGTGAAACCTCATACTCAAGAAAATCTGCTTCAGAAAATTGCCTTTTTTTTTTTTTTTTTTTAATCTCAGGATCAGTTTTGATAGCTGGGATTGCAAAATACTTCAGGAAGAAGAAAAGGCAAACAGTGCAATATTAAGAGATTAGTAGAGCTTTTCATCCCATAGGGGTAGGCAAGGATGCAGGTGGTCTGGAGAAGGTTTTGTTTTTTTTTCCCTACTCATTAGATTTCACTTCTTTGACTTATTTTTGCATGCTCCAAAAATGAACAGCTCTGGAATTCAATTTCAGGCATTGTGAAGATGGGTCAGTTAAACTGTCTATACAAAAATACTCCTTATTCTCTCTCTCTCTCTCTCTTTTTTTTATTTTAAGAAATTTTCTGCCTTTCATTTTCTTGATGACAGTTTGAATGCTTATTGTTTCTTAAAGTTCTGCAGAACACTAAATCAAGAGCATGGACAGGTCAAGAGTGACTTGTGCATCCTATCCAGACCTTCAGACAGCTCTTCCTTAACAAAAGCATGGTTTTCCATTCAGACACTACCCTAGTGCTGGAAGGTATCTGCTTTCTTGAAAGAAAGAAAGATAAAGGCTTGCTTACTTCCCAGAAGAGTACTACAAATGGAGATAGAGAGAGGGAAAAGAGTTATGGGCCTCGTTCCACTGACATACTAGAAGTGTCTGACTGTGGTTGGTACAAGTAAAACCCTTTGTTGTTTCCTTTCCTTTACCTGGCTCTTCACCCACCTCAAAATTCTTGTTATTTATTTATTTTAACTAAAAACATCTGCTAGCACATTACCTATTCCAGCAGAGACCAGAGAGATGACACCTTCTCTAACCCTTCTGTATAGAAAGCCAGTTATCCACAACTGCTTCCAGCTCAGGTTAGCAGAGTGTATTCTTAGCAACTGTCACCTTTTCAATTTACTCCCTTTCATCCTTCACAATATACATTCCCGGATCATGTAACTTTACTAAGTTTAGCCTTGTAAAGAATTTTATCTCAGAAGCCACACAGAGAAATACAGAACTCGAGTTATTTTATTCAGCTGTTGCGCATCGCGCAGCACAGGGTGTATCTGCACTCCTCACACAGACAATGTCAGATACAAATCCTGGGTGAGCAGAACCTGGTTCTTATCTGTCTGTCTCTCTTTTGTTCCTTTGGTGTGGGATACAGAACCGTAACAGTGCTTTCTGACTTAAAACCCATAAAAAGCAGCTTTCCAAACGTAGCATGACACAATAGAACTTAGGGGTAATTTTGTAATTATTGGACTGTCACTACCATTTAATGCATAAATTAAAGGTTTTACTTCTTTCAGGGATACAATACTGCATATTTCATGGAGGCATTAGACACCTCGCTAAAACGCCTCACAAAAGATTCTCTTTTCCTCTGGGCAAGCTTTGCGTTGCTTGGCAGAGGCTGTTGTCTCAGAGCAGCAGCTAGCACCAGGCTGCAGGAAAGCACTTTCTCTAAGTGCCTGAATGCCTGTGAGAAGTCATCTGATTTACCCGTACTTTGTTGGAGAGGAAAAGAAAAAAAAAAAAAAAAAAAAGGAAAAAATATGAGGTACTGACACTTTATCCATCTGTAAAAAAGAACATCTTTAAAGGAAAACGCGCGTATTTTTACCTATTTTTCTTTGACCAACATGTCTCAGTGACTGGGACACGGTCTTCCCTACGTCTCCCTCAGCGCCCGCTGAAGGCGGCTAGCAGCCGAGCTCACCCGGCCCCAGGAAGGAGCTGAGCTCTCCGAGCAGCGCCCGCTGCCCTCCGCGCCCCGTTCACCCACGCGCCTCAGGAGGCAGCGCCGTGCCCCCAGCCTCTCCTCTCAGCGCGGTTCTGCGCCTCAGCACCTGCACCGGGACGAGGAACGGGTCGGAGCGCCTCCCCCGCCCCGAACAATAGCCCTGAGCTCCTTCGGCTGCCACACGGGCGGGTGGCTGTGGGACAGGCTCCGCCCCGCCCGCTTCAGCCGCCCAAGTCCCGTGAACTTTCCCCACGCGCCCGCAAACGAGCCGCCCCTCGCGGGCTCCGTCCCCGCGAGCCGCGTGTCCGCGGGACGCCCCGAGGGAAGCAGCCCAGTCTCTTCGCAGCCCACTCCCCTCGTATCCCTCGCCCGCCCTCCGCCGCTCCCCATCCCCGCAGCACGCCCCGCCCGGCCCGCCCCGCTCCGCACACGCCCACCCCCGGCCCCTGCCCCTTCCCCAGAGCCGGGCTGAGTCCCCGCCGCCGGCTGCGCTCCGCGGGGCCGCTGCCCCTCCGACAAAGGAGGTGGAGAAGCAGAGGCGGGGGGACGGCGAGGAGGAGGGGAGGGGGACGCGGCCGCTCCGTCCGGATGCTGTGAGCCCCCGCTTCGCCCGGCAGCGCGGAGGGAAGCCGAGGAGCAGCCGCGGCGCTCCGCCACCATGGGCTGCTGCACGGGGCGCTGCACGCTCATCTTCCTCTGCTCGCTGCAGCTGGTGAGTGCGGGCACGGCTGGGGGGGGCCCAAGTTCTGCGGTGCGGAGCCGGAGCGGCTGCGGTACGGGCAGAGGGCGCGGGGCGGAGGGAACACCGTGGCCATCCTCTCCTGCTCTCTTTTTTCACCTCCCTGAGAGCCCCCGGCGCGACCTCTCCTGCACTTTGCCGGGGTTCCTTCCCTGAGCGGGTAATTGAGATGAGGAGGACGCGTCTCCCTTTGTTTACTGAAGTTGGCGCATTTGTTTCGGAGAACAGAGTTGTCACGGGAGCGAAGCGGCCCCGATTAGCGATAACCCTTCCCCCGGCTCGTTAGCCGGGCGATAACATAATGCTCTGCCTTCGGCTGTTCGTCCTTAGTCCCGAAAGGATTTAAAAACATTTTTCTTGTGACTCGGAGTCATCATTTTGCCACACGATCCCTCCTAAGAGGAGCGCTGTGCCGCGCGTGTGGCTGCGAGGAGAACGGTGGGATGCGTTGGCCGCTTTCCTCCCCTCTAAATCATTTCTGGATTTCCCCAGCTATCTCTGGTAGCACTTTGAGATGCCCTCTGCTTAAATTCAGCACAGACGAGTATTTTGCTTGACCACCCTCCTTCGTGTCAGGGCTTTGTGCCTGTGCCGGCTGCTGTACCTCCATTGTGCTCAGTGCGAGGGACGGGATGGAGCTGAGCGGTGTAGGCACTTGGGTGGTACCCAAAGGCAGGGCAAGGCGTGCCATTGTGCTTGTGCTGTGAGCAGAGCTGTGCTTCTACCATTCGGTCTTTGTTTTTTCTTGTTCTGCATCAGTTTTACAGATGCTCCTATTGACTGCAGGAGAATCACTCCTGATTTACTTCAGCGCGTGTGGGAGGAGAGAGAAACCCTTTTCCTTCAGATATATCCCTCTACCGGTTATGAAGGTTATAATAACTGTATTTACTATTCTGGAGAATTACTTGGAGGCTATAAAAATTGAAGTAAAGTGTGAATAGCCACCATAATCTGCAGAGAAATGCATATAAAATCTTTCAGGAAAGGATTTGTGTCTTATAAGACACCTATCAGATCATGTAACAACTTCCAAAAATGACTTTAATGTGCAGCTTTTTCTACTGTACTTATCTGCTTTATAACGTTCTGCTGTCATATCTGTATCTTTCAGGCACTGATAAATGTCTGTGTGGCAAAATGCTTTCACTTTATTTCATTTTCATTTAAGGATAAGAGCCATGCTTTGGATGCAAGGTGTAATCTGGTAGATGTGAACTTAGGGCTCAGGTGCTTCCTGTGCTCTCGGTGGTGGCAGTGTTCAATCGATGCTTGTCGAAGTTGTCACCATGGGTGCTTTTAGAGCTTTTCTAACATCCCAGAGGTCACTAGTATAAAGTGTACACAGCACAGCCACATCCCCAGACACTGCTGTCATTAAGTGACACCTGTGTTACCTTGCATTCAGTTATGGGGAGGGGAAAGGCATGATGCTGGCTGTGGGCAGCAATTAGATGAAATATTACAAAAGCCAAAGCACTTTTATTGCTCATTCCTAAGGTTTTGGGTGTACGGGTGTTCCATACAACTTGAGGAAAAACTTTAGAATCCTAGAATCATAGAATGGCCTGGGTTGAAAAGGACCACAATGGTCATTTAGTTTCACCCCCCCTGCTATATGCAGGTTGCCAATCATCAGACCAAGCTCCCAGAGCCACATCCAGCCTGGCTTTGAATATCTCCAGGGATGGGGCACCCACAACCTCCTTGGGCAGCCTGTTCCAGTGTCACCACCCTCTGGGTGAAAAACTTCCTCCTAATATCTAACCTAAACCTCCCCTGTCTCAGTTTAAAACCATTCCCCTTTGTCCTATCACTGTCCACCCTTTAGGAAGAGAGATGGGCATGTATATTAAAATTGTTTACCTTAGTCGTATTTTTCTAATGTTGGATAAGGATCTGTGAGCAGTTCTGCCTGAACCTTAGGATTAATCTTCAGATATCACCTGAGAAAGAAGGACTTTATGAAATATGGTTGGCAACACCTTCTATAGCGTACGGACAGTCAGCCATGCCATGTAGGCGTACTGTAGCACACCGTGTAGGTTCTTTTTGATATAAAATGACATGAAGTAAAAAGCCAAATTCCTGGAAATATGTGCATACTCAAGGTTTGATTCTTGTTTGAAAGCATTATGCAGTGTGTTGTGGTCTTTATAGCTTCTTCATTCATTGAAACTAGCTTCCTCTCTGACTTTTATCTGGTGTGTATGATTGTGTGCTGCTGAGATGAGGAATTACAAGGTGGGGAGAACAACAGTTACTGTGTGACACTCTATAAGATACTGAGACCCTTAACAATTACATATATAAACTTCAAGAAGATTTTGCTTGTACTTTTCAATGCCGTTTGTCTGTCAGCGATTTTGACATCAAATGAAAATAGTTTTCAATTGCGTTTTGATTCATGAAAACATGTATTGCTGATTGACAGCTTTTCCATTTCGTAATAAATACATCTCAGTATTGAACCCAGTAATGCCACGATCGTTCTGCATGTAGTCTCATACCATTTGACAATATTCTCATTCTTCACACCCATCCGTGTGCACCCCCATCACTGTGTGTGATGTGGGATTCTGGAGATAATCACAGAGGAGGTTGGCTGGGTGGCACCAGTGCTGCAAGAGCTGCTAACAACATGCTGTCCTGAGCAGTCTCTGTACACCTCTGCAGGTTTATTCTGCTTCTGGAAGCTGGGGGAATTTTGCCTAAGAACAGTGTTGTGCCCTCCCTGCTTTTAAACCCTGTGATCTCTGTCACTGTTTAAAGTGAAGCATTGTGATATGCCAATTCCAAAGTTGTCAGGCTAATAACTCAGAAGTGTGTGCGTATCTTAATGACAGATTTATGCATAAAAAGATGATTAGGAGCTATGCATACGTCTGGAAAATATATCATGTGGATATACGAGTCCTTTGGATTGCAGCCATAATTCTCACTAGTGCCATCAGAAGTCACAGACGTTGGCCTCCTCTGTAGTAGAAAATCAAAGCAGCTGCCAGGGTGCTTTGCTAGAGTGTCTGTGCTAGAGTAGCCACTATGCCAGAGAAAACTGCAGTAGGAAAATGCTTAAAAAATAAAGCAAATAAAAAAAAATTAAATTCTGGAAGGGGTAAATTGGCAAAGAATTGCAGAGACATTTAGCTGTGAGAATCCAATTGATGTTAATATGTGTCACACAGTGGAAGCCTTCATGCTGCTTTGAAAATGTGTTTCCGAGTAACTACTATTGCAGGATAATTTTGTTTTAACATTTACAGTAAGTGGAAGTTTTTGCTACCTAGAAGCATAAAGATAAACATACACAAAGAACTATAAGTAACAGAGATCGTGAATGAGATTTTCCAAATAGTGAATGGAAGACAAACAGAAGGTGCTCCGTCCCCTTTACTGTTTTGCAAATCTCATTTCATGCCTTTTTCTTTGCTGCACTGAGTTCATTGTATAGATGCTGATTTAGCAGTCTATGTTCTGTCTAGCTGTTGGCACAGACATTCTATCCCCTATTTAACCTGTTACTTTCCAAATAGTTTGTGTCAACAGACCGCATGGGGAAATAATTCTTGTGGAAACACAGCTTCTCTATACCAGCGTTTTGACCAAGTCACTGTTGACTGCAGTTGCTTGTTTTAACAAACTGATTCTTCTCTGAATATTCATGATGGTGATTGCAATTAACATTAATTATAGCAATGCAGGCAAATCCTTACCCTTGGAGCTGAGACTGTAAATTAGTCTAAATTAGACTAAATGTAACATTTCACTATTTTTTACTATAAATAGTGGAATTTTAGTTATGTGAGGAAGTGCACGGATTTTCATCTCATTTGAAAATGATTTATAAAACTGCAAACTAACTTCTATTAATATGCCTTTTCACTATCTTACAGTTAGGCTGTCTGTGCTTGTATATTAGAGCTTACAGCAGTTAGTTAACAGCTCCCAGATTCAAGAGATTTGATAAATTGAGAAGGTAAAATCTCTGAACCGATAAATTGTAGCATCTTTTTATGTTGGTAAAAGAATCACTGGCCCATTGATCTGGAGATGAAGCATCTGTCCACTGGTAAAGGCAGAGGCAGTGTGAAGGAGCAAGCACTGCACAAACAGGGATGAGGGAAATTGGGATTTTAGCCTTGAACAGTATGCTGTTTGTGGGATGCTTTCCTGCTGAGAAAACTGATGGGGGAATGGTGTTTTGCTCAAATAACTCAAACAACATTCCCAAATCATGTAACTGTTGCTGGTGGCTGTGCCTAAGAGCCTGATATGCTTGTTTTGCAGGTGTGTGAATGCCCTTAATGTTAACATTAGAAGTAATAGGCTGTGTCCAGGCAACTGCTTGAGTTACATCTTAGTAAGTTGAAATCCAAAGTATGTGTTAGGTTGTATCTTTTTTTCAGGATCTCCATCAATAGGAATAAAAGAGTAACAACTAGCAGTAAATGTTTTTCACTTTGTTTTCTGGTTTTATACAATTGTTGGAAGATGCTTGTTATTAAAACACATTTTTAGTGCATAAGCACTGCACGTTTAACTGCTCCACACAGCAGCAATTCAGCTTCAGCAGTGAAATTCCCTTCTTGTGTGCCGTATTTCTTTCAGTTCAGTCACCCAAAGTTGGGAATTCAGGACTTCAGGAACTCTGGTCTTGCAGAGCTGTCTGAAAGTTCTGAACTGGTGAGTCTGCTACAGAAGCCATACCACAGTTGCTTTGGTTTTGGCTTTATTCACCACAGCAGGCTACTTTCCTATGGTTCCTCGCTGCTCTGTGATTGATGGTCTACTGTCATATAGAAATATAAAGAATATCTTTCGCAGTGCTGAAGTGAAAGATTTAAGGTTTTAATGATAATAGTGGAAATTAATCCACTGAAAGTTGTACATTACATAGATCTCCTTCTTGTCTATCAGAACAGTAGGTTTTGGAAATATTTATTTTAAGAATATTGGAGGGTGGAGTTCATCTG